TATTTCTATGTTTCTTATTTTTTTTTAGATTGGTACTTGTTTAGACATCTTAATTTTTATTTCAGGTAGTCTAATTTCAACATGAGCAAGCACAGCATTATCCAATTGGCCACCAGAAACAAAAAAAGCAGAAAGAGTAAGCTAATGTTAGCAACTCAAAATCAATCAAAACATTTTTTGCTGTAAATTTTAATACATCTTCATCATTTATAACTACAACTGTAACACATCCTAAAGCTGTACAGTTACATCCTAAAGCTGTACAGTTACATCCTAAAGCTGTACAGTTACATCCTAAAGCTGTACAGTTACATCCTAAAGCTGTACAGTTACATCCTAAAGCTGTACAGTTACATCCTAAAGCTGTACAGTTACATCCTAAAGCTGTACAGTTACATCCTAAAGCTGTACAGTTACATACTGATGATAGAGAAGCAGAGCTCCTTCATTTATCAATTTAAAAAAGAAGTGGAAATTAAATCAAAAAAAATCTCTAATGATCCAGCACTTAAGAAAGTAAATGATTTCTTTTGTAACTTTTTTGTTTTAAATAAATAACTGCTTCAAAACTTGGAAGTTGGTACCTTCAAGAAAACCTCTAGAAAAATTATTAGAAAACAACACAGTAAATATCTAAAAACTTATTTTCTTGCAAGTTTGCAAATGGAGAGACATTAAATAGGTTTTGGTTAACATTTTCTAATTCATCGGATTGAATATTTTATACACCTCTGCAAATTATTCTCTCATATTTGTTCTGCAAATTATTCTCTCATATTTGTTCTGCAAATTATTCTCTCATATTTGTTCTGTTTCTCGATTTACCGCTAGTTACAAGGATTGAAAAATCTAATAAGCAACAGACAAGCAATTTGTTTATGTTTTATATCATCAGATAAGTCAAACATTGAGATCTCCTTTGTCATAAATTCCACTAGTGAAAGGGTTCTAGCACTTTGATGAAATGATGAGATACTGGTCATCCTCAATGGAAATTATTTTGGAATATTGGTATTGAGTGGCAAATTATGATGGTTTTTAATCAAAGCATATTTAGCAATACGGAAATCTAAGTAAAGATGTTGTTTATAAAAATTGTGACATAGTATTAAAGAATTTTAATAATGGTGTAAAAGATACCTAATACTTTGTATACTTTTATTCTCTATCACACAGAGTAAAGATGTTCAAGCACACATTAAAGAAATAAACCCATTAGGGAATTTTCCCATGAGGTGCACACTCTCTAAATCTACTTGGAAATGATGCAACTAGCTGGATGCAGAACTGTCCTTTGGAATCGTTCAACAGCTTTGCAACATTCTTTAATCAAGCCAAACACAATATTTTGTACTTTGTGATACCTGATGGTCTGCTCATGATGCTGTTAAGGTTTTGAAAGTTATCTTAACTTAAATATCATCATTAAATATTTCATCTAGACGTAAATACTTTTATTTTTTCTAAATCTTCACTGATCTATTTTTTATAGTAAAAATTCTTCAATAAATAAAAAAAAGAATCCCAAAAAGGTTTTTAAAAAACTCTTTGGAAATAAAAAATTCTAAAAAAGGTATCATTAACACTTTAAAAAGTTTTTTTTTCACATTTTGATTAAGGTTTTAACAAACAATATCATGGAGATGTGAAATTAGATTTCATAAATGATTAGGTGTTTTTATAGTTTAGTAGTGATAATTAATTTTTATAGTTGCCATCTGTACATTTCTTATTGAATAAACTGAGATCTAGTGTCAGGTAAGGCATATACTCATCATAATCACCCTGCTACTGATAACATATATTCCAGTTCAATCTGTTCATTAGACACCAGTAATTTTCAACTTTTTTCAGAAAAGTCAATTGCTTCAAGCGAGAGTACCTTTATCAGACCTTAAAACTATAACATGCAAAATTTTAAGGTTGCAAGTCCTTTCAGTTGTATCTTATTTTTGTTTAACTTTTTTATTTGCAATTCATTATGAATTGGTACTAAGTTCCATTATTCCAAATTTACTTAGTCTTGTGTTTTATCTCAGAAGTTTGACTTGAGAGACTTTTGGAAAATCTTCAACAGTGTCATTAGTAAAGGTTTCAACAGTGTCATTAACATCTCTAACTCATGAGTCTGATCTTATTAGCTCTTCCAAGGATAAGGCAGAACTATTTGCAAATAATTTTTTCTCTAATTTGACTCTTGAACCTAATGGCCATACTCTTCCTACCATTCCAGTTAAACAGATTAACCCAGTATAGACATCCAAATTTCATTTCTCAATTAAACTTTTCTCAAAATATCTCTGGAGAACACTCTGACCTCTCCAACTTTTGTTTGACCAGTCTTCTTCTTTATTAGCAATCTAACACCTAATCTCAAGCATACTTGCTCACTGACAAACAATATGGTTTCCAATTTTGTTCTTTGGCTGACTTTAACTTGCTCTAACTGAAGGGTTCCTTCATGCATCATTTGGAGGTGGTGAGGTATGCACTTTTATCATTCAATACTGACCCCTCTAAAAAATATTTGGATTGTCAATGGGCAAGTTCTTTTAATCATGCACTTTCTCTCTATAAAAGGTTCATCTAGTTTTTTTTTCCTCCACCTCATCGCTTTGGAGCTCTCTTCCATCTTCTTTTTTTTCCGGCTCATACAACCTCTAACTTTTCAAGTCTTCTGTCAACCATTCTTTGCTCTTCAACTCTATGGTTTTTAGTAACTCCTAACTAATGGTTGCTTATAGCCTTATTGGGAATGAATTAAAATTAAAAAAAAAAAAAAAAAGTAGTTACAAATATTGAAAGTTGGCTTGAACCAAATACAAAACACTTGTGGCAAATCTGAAGGCATAATGGAAAAGTTGAATGATTTTGAGATCATTATGTGTCTAATGTGGTGTGATTTTCTGTAACGAATTTACAAAATTAACAAATTGGCAAAAACTGGACTTATAAGCAATTAATGAGAGTATCTTTTTAAATTGATTACACCAAAATTTAATGGTGTGAATTTGGTTTTTATGAAACTGCAGCAATTAAAGTTCTATAAACGAACATGTTTTGAAATGCACTCAAGATTTTTTTGATAACCATGAAAATGAATCTACCATTTCACCAAAAGAGCAATCTAAAACCCCAAGGTTTCTTGTTAACTGCAATAATTGTACTGATTTAACTAAGCAAGGTGAGACATACAAGATTTTTATTCCTGTTACATTTTTGATTGATGTTTAACACAAAGTGGAAAGAGTAGTTCAACTTCTTCACAAATATCACTTGAGCTTGGAAAGCGAATGATGTTTTTAGTCCAAAAATGTTTACAGATATTTTAGAAAAAATCTTCTAAAAAGAAAGCATTGATGATATGCGTTTAATTTTGAATTTTGTTAGTGAAGTTTTTCCAAATTTAAGATAGCTTTCCAAAGTTTTTTATCGATTTCATGCAGTGTGTGAGAAGAATTTTTTTTTTTTAAACTTGCACCAATAGAGAGCAAAAAAAGAGCATCTATGAAACAAAACATACTCTTAGTTCGATATCCAACAAAAAGCACAGAAGTTTGATTGCATTACAACAATCACACATTTTGCTGCTGCCAAATCAAGATAAGTCTTGCTGTAGTTTGATGTATGAGTTTATTTTATAATTTTATGAATAAACTTTATCAGTCAATGTTTATCAGTTAATGTTTTTTCAATTTTTTTTTTTTTTTTGATAAGAGCTAAAATATTAACACTTAGATATCTCAGCCCTCAGTCATGGTTAATCCAGCATTAGTAACAACAACAGTAAAAAATATCTACTGAGGCAAATTAGTAGAAAAAGGAGGGGAAAACAGAAAAAAAAAATTCCTAATGTAATGTCCTACCTTATAAACCTATATGTATTTTTTATATTATCAATGTTATTTTTGTTAATAATGAAGTTGTTGTTTTATAATTTTTAACATCTATTTAAATACTTTAATATTAATATATTTAAATTTATTATTCTTATTTTTATTCTTATATATATATATATATATATATATATATATATATATATATATATATATATATATATACATATACATATACATATACATATACATATACATATACATATATATATATATATATATATATATATATATATATATATATATATATATATATATATATATATATATATATATATATATATATATATATACATACATACGTAAAGTCTATATTTATATACATTTATATTTATGATACAGAGTGGTCAATTTGTTTATAAATCTGTGCCTGATGGGTTTCTCACGATATGGAGGTCTGAAGGTTTAAAAGGATTATTCAGTGGATGCACTGCAACAATAGCTAGAGATGCACCATTTTCAGGGCTTTTTTTGATGTTTTATACTCAAGAGAAAAAATTGTTATCAAAGGGTATTTAATCATTTTAATATATTTATAAATGTATCATGTTTTTAAAAAGTGTATAAAGTTTTCATTTTTTTTAAAGTATATTTATAGTGTACAGTCTTCTTGGTTTAAAATTTATACCAGCAAACAAAAAAGTGGTGGCCAAATGGTCATTATTAGGCTGGCAAGCGCGATTTTTCAAAATCATTTTTATTTGCTTTTTAAATTGAAAAAAAAAATTGGTGGCAAAAATGATTTCGATAAATTTTAAATGAAATTAATAAAATAAAAAATGGCAAAAATAATGTTTTATTTAAATTCTATTTTTTTGTTTATAATTCTATATCTCTAGACAAAAAAGAAAATAAAAGCAGCCAAAAGCAACATTTTAATTAAGTTCTGAATAAAATTAAAAAAATTAAGATGGCAAAAAAAAGTTTAATGTAAATTCTAAATAAAATGATTAAAATAAAAACAACATAATGAACCCTTGATTTAAATTCAAAAAATAATAATTTGTACATTTGTATTATCACAATTTTTTATCAAAATGAACAAAAAAGTTTTGTTGCAGTTTAAAAAAATGCTTTTTTTTTTTGACAAGCGCTTTTTTAAGCACTGGCAAAAGTATAGGCTTGTGTGTGTGCAAGTGTGAAAAACTTGAGCGCAATAGTGCTGGCCAAATAAAGAAATCTGAATGTATTATATTTTAAAATTGTTTTTGGTAGTGCAGTTAATTCCCGATAACTCCGATAGCCAAGGGACCAAGGAAAATGGTTCGACTTAAACAAAGTCCCGTTAAGTCAAACTTTGACAGAAATGAAATATTAGTTCAAGTTAAGGTGATTTTTATTTATTCAATGCTAAAGTATAAATATTAAATATACATTATTATAGTAATAAAAAGTGTGGAAAAATTTCAATGAAAGAAACTATGTATATCTGCATGTATTAGCTTCTCTGATAGTTCTTTTTCCACAATTAAGTTTATTTGGTTTATACATTTATGAATACACTCCCCATATCATGTAGCTTTGTTGTACTTCCAGGGCTTGACATACATCACCCGATTGAGGGCAAGTTGGTTCGACTAAAAAATCTAAATCACTATCTTCATCTTTTTTAGCCTCAAAGTTTTCTTCTAAAACATCTGATATAATCTCCTCATCATTCATCATCGGCTCGTCATTGTTGACAAAATCATCCATGGACACAACATCTTATGCTGTTGTTCCTTCAGGGAAGAACTTAGATGTATGAACAGCAAGCTTTTTTAACTGGTCTTTGAGATCTTAAAAAGGGTCATCCACATCTACCAAGGCGTCAAAACACATTTTCTCTGAAATTCCAGCTTTAGCAAAACAAAAGCAAATAGTTTTGGTCTTCAACTTCCCTCAAGCAACATCAAGCATTTGCATGGCATCCATTATATTAAATTCTGGAAGCAGCTTTTTTTTATTTATTGCATCTATTAATTTTTGAACAGATAGTGTTCTATAATGGGCTTTGAGTGACTTAATCACGCCCTGGTCCATCAGCTGAAGCTTCGAGTTAGTATTTGGTGGTAAAAAGACAAGTTCTATTGATTCGAGATTATCAATGATTGGATGAGCTGAACAATTATCAACTAATAAAACAATTTTTAGTCCTTCCTTCGTAAATTGCCAATCAAAATCACAAACCTTTTCCTTGATTAGTCTGCCATCCATCCAACTTTTCTTCTAACTGCGATAATGGCAGGGCAAATGCTTTACATTTTTAAAGCATCTAAGCGATTTAACTTTGAAAATAACAAACTTTAGCTTTTTTTTCCCTAAATACCCTTTCTTAAATACATTTTTTTTCCCTAATTATTTAATACTAAATGCATTAGTACTAAATAATTAGTACTAATGCATTAGCGGATGCCAATCCTGTAAGACGTATTTGCTGTGTTTCCCACTGACACATTTCTCATTTTTAAAATGTAAAGATTTATTTGGTTAAAGCTGTTAAAACAAGCCAAATTCGTCAGCATTATAAATCTGGTTCAACTTATATTTTGTTAAAATGGTTAGAAACGTGATTTCCTCCCATGGTGCTACTATTTCACTTATACATGCATTAGCTTCACCAAACCTTGCATTAGCTACACCAGACACCAGGCCCAGACAAGCTTCACCAGCTTTACTTGTACATGCATTAGCTTTACCAGAAACCGTTTTAAATGATGTTGTATCGTTTCTTCCAATGGTCTAGCCAACCATCTAAAGCATGAAAATTTGTAGCGTTCATTCTTTCAGCAAATTCCATGGCTTTAGTTTTGAGAATTAAAGGAGAGACAGTGATCAATCTCTGTTACGAACAATCAGAAGCCATTTGAAAATAGCTTGATCCAAATTTGCAAATGACCATTTCCTTATACGCTGACGTTTTGGGTTGTTTTCTTTCTCCACTGCATCAAAAATTTTTTCCTTGTTTCTCAACCAGGTAGATAAGGTGTTCTTTAGTATATTATATTTTTAAGCGACCTTTAACTTTGAGATGCCATCTAATACATCTTTTAGTGCGTTGTATTTGATTTTAATGGTTTTTGTATTCCTTTTTTCGCTTAGTTGCAATTGTCGCCATGTTACAAACTTTGAGTTTAAAAAGCAAGTATTCATGCTGTACACTTAAAAGATAATATTCAAAACAGTTTAGCAAAAAAATACAATACAATTTCTTCCTTAAAGTATTTTATGTTTTATATAGAATGACTTCTTAAAAAAAACTTTAATCAAGTTATTTGATTTCCTTATTTCCCATACAAATAGTTCAAATTATCCAAAGAAATTTGCAGAAAGGGGACAATAAAATGGTTCGACATAATAAAGTTTGAGTTACACGATGTTAACTTAACTGGAGAATTTTAATAGTAATCAGTTAGATAATTTCTAGGGACCAAATGAAACAATTCGAGATAACAAAAGTTTGAGTTAACTGGGAATTAACTGTATATAAATAATCCACAAAATATTAAATGCTGTATTTAAAATCTCAGCATTATGATACATTAATTATTTTTTTATTTTTTAAAAGTATAAGTCAAGTTAATAGATATTTGATAATTTTTTTCAGTGATGGATAAGAATACTGCTCACATCCATTTTGCTTGTGGTTTGATTGCTGGAGTTTTGGCCTCTTTTGCTACCCATCCAGCTGATGTTATTAAAACACAAATTCAACTCTATCCTTTACATTATCAAGGAACAATAAGTTGCATAAAAACTGTGTACCAGACTTTTGGTCTAAAAGGTTTTACGGTAGGATTTTTTCCTCGATGTCTCCGACGCACTTTAGTTACTGCAATGTCATGGACTATATTTGAAGAAGTCTTGAAAAAGTTCCATATAAACATTTAAATGCTATTATTAAGCTTTGTTGGATTTGTGTTAAATATAATATTATTTGGTAAAATTTGATAAAATTGTGTGATTATAACTAATTAAATAATTGTTTTTTTAATGTTTCAATATTTGTTTGTTAGTCTATTTTTGGAATTCATTTTTTAACTATGTTCAAATATTTTTTTTATAATGAACAACTATTTTTTAGACAAATAAAATGTGTTTTATATTTATATTTCAGTTTTTTAAGTTTTAAATTTTTTAATAATGATTCTATTTTTTAATAATTGATAACTTATACCACTACTTGTATATGGTAAATTCATTTTATATTATTTGTCTTAAATAGAGTTTTTAAATATCTAATAAATAATGTCTCCTCAACTTCGACCAAGTAAAAATGTTATCATGCAAGTTTTATGGACAGGCATTGACAGTTCTGTCCCAAGTCTCTATATATTTACAGATTCTAAAAAGTAAGTTTTATTTAAAGAAATAACATTTGTTATTCCTTAAGTATCGTTTATTATTTCCTAAAGGGATCCCTAAGTGCTGAGATAAGTTGTGTTGATATCTTGAATAAACCTTAGAAAAAAAGTTTAGAGTTGTTTATAAGTTTAGAGTTGTTTATAAGAATATTAATGTAAACCTTTTTTTTAATGTCAGCTTTTTTGTAGTTTTAATTTTTTGATTTAATTATTTTTGTTTTTAAGTCTACTATTAGGCTGAGAATCGATGACTTACAGTTCTGCTTAGAATGACGTGTTCACCATAATGCTTTTTTGAACGGCCTCTAAAACCAGTATATCAAATATTTGTTCTTTATTATATACTTTTGTTCATAATCTTATTTTACCCTATCCTTGTATATTTATTCAGATTTGTGTTATGTGTGAATGAGGCCGTATATTTGTGAGAAGTATAACAGCGCGAAAATTTTACACAAAAGTACGTATTAGCGTATTTTTTATAACAAATGTATTCTTGGTTGGAATATACTGAACAATTTCATTAGATAAGTTTAGACTAATCACGATTTTGTTAGGTTTTTTTGTTTCTATCTAATTTTCTCGATTTGACGTCGCTAAGTTAGTTTGTTGTGGTTTGCACTATACAGTCTTCACTAACGTTCCTTTGGTCGTTTTGTCAACAATATTGTTTTTTAACGTTACATTTTTTAGTGGTTATAAGCTATTAGTTTAAAATCGCATATATTGGCTTATCTTTTTATTTCCTCATTATTTTCTGCCTACTGATTTGATGTTCGTATATTTTTTTATCTCTGGCTAATCGTTATTTAATTACTCTGAGTCTGTATTGTGTGATAGCTATTGTCTCTACTTACCAGGCAAGATTTATATTAGAACATACTATTTAGAGTCATATATTTTTTTATCATACTTTCGTTTAACTACTTTCGTACTAACCACAAAACATCCTAACTTAGTATCAATGCTTATGAGTGGTATTTACTTATTATATTTACAATACATATTTCAGCCATAAAAGAAACGGTAAGTTACTATTAATTATTAATTACTATTTTCTATTCGCTTTTTGTTATTTCTACACATTATAATTGTTTATTTACACACGCGCATACGTACATGTGTACAAGTTTGTTTCTTCTAATGTTAGGGTACCTTATATTTATATGTGTTTACATATCTATTTATGGTCACACCACGCGCACTCCTCACCACCCTCACGAGATCTCTAAGAATGTTGGAGCTGTTTTCAAAAACTGGGATAGGGATTGGTTTTTTGGCTTTTGTAGTGTAGTCCTATTATATTGCAATATTGACTAGCATGACGTAGAGTGCAGGCGGTGAGATCTGTTGCAAGGACACGCCCCTGACGAGTGGCGTTAGTGCAGGTCTCGGGCTCTCCGAAACGTCATTGGTGATCGCAGTGCATTCCTGAGGAGGGGGATCACCATTTATCCACTACTTAATTCTAATTGGTTATTATGGCACCAACATTTTTTTACCTCTTAAACCCATGTATTTTTGCGCTTTATGAGCTTTTTATTATGAATTTGGTACATTTACGACATTTATATATTTTTTATGTTACACAGGTGATTATCAGTTATCAATTTTTTATCTAGAGTTTAGAACATATATAGTACCACATTTATTAGACACTTGTATGGTGCGATTATTTTAGTTATGAATACCATTATAAACCAGCGGATTTTTATTGACTTGTTTACTCATAGATCATTATTTCATCATTTATTAAAAGATGACTAGAGTGTGAGTTTTTATTCCCCTTTTCCTGAGTTGCTTACTTTTACTCTTCCAACTAAATAGTCTTTGCATTAATTCATGTTTTTTTACCTAAATGACATCATCTTCAATCTGTTTTTACTTTCACATCTCCCAGGTCTACGTAACTGGACGGCTCCGTTGGTCACTTTTTGCGATCATAGTGTCGCATAAGCAAAAATGTAAACCTTTTCAGCTTTTTTGTAGTTTTAATTTTTTGATTTAATTATTTTTGTTTTTAAGTCTACTATTAGGCTGAGAATCGATGACTTACAGTTCTGCTTAGAATGACGTGTTCACCATAATGCTTTTTTTAAACGATTTAATTTACACACAAGTTTGAGTTTCCCCTTTTTTAATTTGTAAAACTTTTTTACCTTTTAAACAGTTTTTTTCACAGAAAAATTTATTTGTATAATTTTCACTTAATTCTAAAAATATTATTTTTAGGTTATATTAAAGTGATTTGTTTTTAACAACCCACAGTTATATTCACTTCTCCCTGTTAAACTAACCGAGTATTCTTTAAAGTTTTCATAGTTTCCAAAAAAAATTCTATAGCAAGTTGTTATTGAAATTCTTTTTTAGAAAAAAAGATTTTTTATACTCAACATTATCTATCAGGATGGTTACAATGTAGAAAGGTAAAAATGTAGAAGAAAAATAATCTTTTATGCTGTTCCAAGAGTATAGTGAAAATTAAAAAAAAACATCACAATGTTACTTGTGTATGATTAGTAATACAAAAGACCAAAAAAGCTAAAGAGAGACGAGCTCTAAAATATTTAGACATACTATCATCTATAGCACATTTTAAGAATAGAAACTATTTTTATAGTAAGAAATTGTAACATTAGAAAAACATTTGTTTTAAGGAATTATTTCTTTTTGTTTTTACTAGTATCATACACTAGTATCATCAAAAAAAGAAAGTAGATATCAAGAGTGATGGGGTACTGCTATGATTGTATGCTATATATGGTCTCTAGTCAGAGAAGATGAAAGTATACCCTCAAAATTACGACCATAAAGCACTTCTAATCTTGAGAAAGATTTTATAGTGAAGATTGCAAGTTTAAAAACGTAATAAAAAATTGCTTATAATAACTTACTATGTAACAATATAGCAAAGGTCTTGCCCACTTTTTTAAAAATGTTTTATTATGTATTTTTTGCCACTGAATTCAAAAAATTATTTTTTTGACATAACATGGATATTTTTTTATGTTTTTTCTTATTTTCTTGATTTAAGTGCACATTTTCTCCAAGACAGTATGTTGAATCAATGTATTCTAATATTGCAAAGATAATTATATATCATATAGCACTTTTCCATATATTGAAAGGTTTCTGAATTAGTAGTTTAGGAGGTAAAATACTAGTGAAACAATAAATTTTCTTACTGTAAGGAATTGTATTGTTTCTTTTTGTTTTCACTAGAATCGTACTTCCAAAATATCTTTCAAGATATGAAAAAGTGCAATATGATATATAATTATTTGTATGCTATATTATTTCAAGATGTTATTTAATTATTCACAAGTTTTATATGAATTTGAGCACAAAAAAGAAAATAAATTACATGATTATAAAAATAAAATTTGTTATGTAATGAACATTAAATCAAATATCAAAATGTTTTTTTAGAACATACATACATAAAAAATATTTTTTTTAGAACATGCATTCATGAAAATTATGCTAAAAATGTTGAGTTTAAATTAAAGCTATATAAATAAATAAATAAATATATATATATATATATATATATATATATATATATATATATATATATATATATATATATATATTTATATATATATATATATATATATATATATATATATATATATATATATATATATATATATATATATATATATATATATATATATATATATATATATATATATAAAGATAACAAAAATCTTATTTCACTCCTAATATATAAATCCAAATATCTATTAATAATGTATTAAAAAATGAAGATTTTAAAATATATTATTCATACATTCAAATAATTAATTCATAATTAATTAATAGATTTAGCATTTCAAATATTAGGTTTCAATTTCTGCCAATGTTTTTGTTTTCATTAAAACTGAAATTTCTGTTGAAAATCATATCAAAAACCAAAATTTACTAACCAATTTCGGTTGAAAATCACATCAAAAACCAAAATTTACTAACCAATTTTGGTTGAAAATCACATCAAAAATCAAAATTTATTAACACAGGCTATTAATCACAGATAATCTAGATTTGTCAAGAAAATTGACCATTTAACTTTTAGGATTAATTCATTTCACCATTTTATTTATTAAAACAATATGATTATGTATTTGGTTTAATATCCAGATATTTTTATTTTGCTTTAGTTGAATTAAACTTAATCTTGGTATTACATTTACTTTTTGTATTAGTTTATTGTTTTAATTTAAATGTTTGACAATTTTGATTGTTTACTATTCAGCAATACTCAATTTATTAGTTCTATTTTAAACAAATAAATGCCAAAATAAAGGATAGAAATCCTTTATCTTGACTTGCAAAAAAGGCGTAATTGTTATTTTATCTTATTAATTATTTACCATACTTATAACTTAAATTTCCTTTGGCAATTTTGTGTATATTTTATTTTAGTCAGCACATAGTTCAAATTGTTTTAGTACTTTTAAAATGTAAAATCATATTTTTTGTCATTAGCTAGAAAAACTTTATTCAAACTTTAATGTCAATGAACATTATACATTACTTTGCACCATGCTGAACATTTTTACCAAGTCAGTAGTGTTTTCCCTCAAGTTTCTGAACTCAATACGCTCAATCTTTAAATGAAATGGTTTCCTTTTTTAGTGACTATAAAGCCAAAATACTTTAAAAACTTATCAAATAAAATCAGTGCTCTAAAATCTTACAAAATCAGTCATTAAATCTCTCTCCTATTTAATGGCTGATTTTAATAGATTTTAGACCTCTCCAAAGCTATTTAGTTAAGTATAATACTATGTACTATTGAAATATAGCTATAATAAGTATGTATTATAATTAATTTCCAAAATTTTTTTTAGGTATCTGTTTAATTGTGGGGAAGGCATGCAGCGAATATTTACAAGCAACAAAATGTTGCGATTTGGACGCCTTGATACATTTTTTATGACTCGTCATGAGTGGACGCATATGGGAGGACTTCCAGGATTTGGAATGACTTTGAGAGATATGAAAAGGTTAATTTATTTTGTTAATTCAATTATTTATGTGAAAGCAGAAATCCCAAAAAAGGTCCTGGTTTTGAAAATCTTTGTTTCAGGTCTATGGTGTCAGTAGCTCTAAAAATGTTTCAAGATTACATAGGAAAATTTTTTATAGATTTAAAGTTTTTTAAACTTATCTTTTAGCCTAAAGCCCTGTTGTGTAATTCCTGAATTAAAGTTGAAAAATTCATGTACCCTAAATATCTTGTTTTTTTACTCTTAAGTAGTCTTGGGGCTCCTAGACATAAAAGACCAGGAACCAGTTATGATTTTGTGACTTTCAAAACTGGAGTTATTTTTGAAACAAAAACAATAAAGAATATCTAATCATTTTAGACATTCTATTCTGTTTTTTTTTTTTAAAAAAAAAACAGTAAAGAATATCTAATCATTTTCTTTAACTATTCATCTTCTTTTTTTTATTACTACTGTAAGTTTAAAAAAAAAAAGAATTTAAGAAAATGAAACGAATCATTAAAAAATATATATTCACTAATTAAATTAAGAAGATGAATATATTTTGTTTGTTAACAATAATAACACAATAAAAAACAAAACATGAATATTAGTGAGATCAAAAAAAAATTTACATTTTTTACAAATCAGCAATTTGATTTCAGGCAGAGTTGTAGTTTTTTATTTTGAGCACATTAAGAAACAAAGGAAAAGTATTGGTAAGAAACAAAAAAAAGTATTGGTAAGAAACAAAGGAAAAGTATTGGTATAACAAAATAAAAATTTTAGTAAAAGGTTTTATATAACTATTGGTAGACTTGGAGAAAAATGGTCTACAAAATAAAATTGCAGTAAACAATAAGTTTATTAACAAATGTTAAAAGTCTTTATTTTTTTATTACCCCACTCTTATTATAGATTCAATTTTATCTGTATATATATAGAATTTTATCTGAACAAAATCAAAAACATTTCATCAACGAAGCTGTTAAATATGATCAGAAGATAAAATCAACGTGAGTATTTTAGTATAAAATGGAAAATAAAAAATGTAAAATAAAAAACAAAAAAACATGTATTTAATTTTTCAATCATATTAAATAATTTAGTTTGGCATTTTTAGTCCAGAAATAATGGTGCATGCTCCACCTAGTATGATAGATGTAATTACTGGAGCACAAACATTTATGCGGTTTGACAATTCTGGTGTGAACTTTAAGGTTGAATCAAGTTTTAATAAATGTTTCACAGATGGAGAAATGACAGTCTTTCCTATTCTTATTGAATCTGGTAATTATTGTTTTTTACAATCAGAAAAGTAAGAGTTACTTATTTAATATATTTAGTTTTAAAATAATTTTTTTTTTTAATAAAAAAATTGATTAGCTTTAATTATAGTCTATTAACTCCTTGCCTCAAAAAGGATAAATAATGTAAAAAAAAAAAAAAAAAAAAAAAAACACACACATGCATATATTTTTAGTATAATTTTCTGTATTCTTTTTAGGTATCATCTGAATATAGTGTTTTAAACATTAGTTTGTACCTTTATATTGCTACACTTTATATTGCTACACTTTATATTGCTACACTTTATATTGCTACACTTTATATTGCTACACTTTATATTGCTACACTTTATATTGCTACACTTTATATTGCTACACTTTATATTGCTACACTTTATATTGCTACACTTTATATTGTTACACATAATAGAAATCATCATAAGATGCAAACATTTTTGTATGACATCACTGTCATACATAGGACTGTTTCCTGTTCATTCCATTTCTGTATGACATGCCATTTCCTGTTTTGTTTTTTTAATTGACTTTTATCTAAATTGTTTGATTGCATATTTTGCTAAGATTTGAAGATTAAAATTATGCATTAGCTATTAAATTTCTGTTAATAATTTTTTTTTTTTTTTTTAAAAAGAAAAAGAAGAAAATAAGAGCCTATCACAAGCTATGAGCTATCTTTGTCAATTGCTTCCACTACCTGGAAAGTTTCTAATTAAAGATGCACTGAGACTTGGTGTACCAAAAGGTCCCCTTTTTGGTGCTTTGTCACGTGGAGAGAGTGTAACTTTACCTTGCGGTAAAGTGGTGAGTTCTTAAACATTCAATTCTCATATATATATATATATATATATAATATATATATATATATATATATATATATATATATATATATATATATATATATATATATATATATACACACACACACATACACCTGTGAGCATGAAAATAGCAGTACTAAAAAATTATTTGTATTTTCATTATTACTCTCCTGTATAATATAGAAAGTGTAATTTTTTATGTGTCTATATACAATAATGAGATAAGTAAATTCAATACATCCAAGAATATTGTTATTTTTTGATAAAATTATTGTAATTGAGGGAATGCATTAAAATAGCAGTGGTTGTATTGATTTTAAAGTTAGTTTATAAAATTTAAAGAGATTTTCGTAATATTTACAAGAAAAGTAAGTATTACTTCAATTATAATATATTCTTTATTTATTTGTGTATGCTCAATGGTAAAAGTCTCTTCTAAACTTTTTAAAGTGGACTGAGGATGTAATTGTACACCAACAGAACACAACATTGTTTTGAATTTTGAAGTATCATAGAGAGGGTAAATCTTACTCATATATACAAAATATTCTCAGATGTTCAGCAAAGATGATTTCATGCGGTAGTGGTGTAGTGGTAGAGCGCTCGCTTCATAAACGAGTGGTTCCGAGTTCGATCCCCACCACGTCCCTGGTAGTACCGCGCTCAACTCGTTTCTCTGCGCAGCGGCCTTGCTCGTCAAGGTTCGTGTTTTGGAGTTATAGAGTTGAGAGAGGGTTATAACCATAAATAAGTAGCCTCCTCGTCTGTAGTGGCCTTCTCGGCCTTGAGGAGGTGAATTAAAATAAAATAAAAATAAAAAAAAAATTTCAAATGCCATAAATTATAAAGCAAAAGTTGTGGTTGAAATCATGACTCCCACACAAGAATACTGAAGAATTGTAAGATATGTTAAAAGCAAACTATTTTCATCGACAAGCAAGTCAAAGATGATCTTGAATTACAAGTGAGTGACAAAACTGTTCATAGGCGCTTAAGAGAGAACAGTTTATATGCATACAGTCCACAAAAGGTTCTTTTGTTGACTAAAAATATACTGCTAAATATTTGCTGTTCACAAACCAACATCTGATTTTGCCATCAAAAAGTGGCGCAACATATTATAGAGTGATGAGTCGAAAAGCGTTCTTTATGGAGGTACAGGTCAATCACTCAACCTAAACCCCATTAAAAACTTATGGGAAGACATTAAAAAAACAGTTTCTGCTGCTAATCTAACTAATACTGAGCAATTATGGATAGCTATTTAACAAGCATGGTATGCAATACCTGCAGAAAAATGTCAATGCCTTGTTGACTCAATGCATCGGTGTTACCAAGTCGGTAGCCAAAACAAAGGTTTTGCAACAAAATACTCAATATAAATATTATATTATACTTATTTCTATCTTTTTAACGTTAAAAAATTAACTTTTTTAATGTTAAACTCTAGAAAAATTCAGTATTTTTCTTTATTTTCAGATACCACTGCTATTTCAATGACTGCAACCTTTTTTTAACATTATTGTTTTGTTTCTGAAATAAAATGTAAAACAATTTTATTCTATTTGATTTAAATGTCAAAATGAGTATAATAAAAAGTACTGCTATTTTCATGCTCATATATATATATATATATATATATATATATATATATATATATATATATATATATATATATATATATATATATATATATATATATATATATATATATATATATATATATATATATATATATATATATATATATATAAACATATATATAAACATATATAAATGCAGCATTAGAGGTACATTTATTATATCATACTAAAACAAGGTGCTGCGGGGGCATACATAGTACATACATAGAATATCTTATAGCCTACTGCCGAAAAGTAGTGCTGCTACATCGGCTAAGGGTTTGGCATTTTGAAGCAATCTTTTAATTCATAATTCTTAGTTGTTGTTTTTTTCTTTAAAATTAAATTGGTATTATCTAACAATGCTTATGTGTGTTGCATTATTTTTTGTAAAAAATGTATTAGTAGAATAATTTTTGTATTTGAGATTAGTCCTGAGCAAGTAATGGAGCCACAAGTAAATGGTGTAACTTTTTTTGTTTTGGACTGCCCAACTGAATTACATATAAAAAGTCTGCAGGAAGGTATTAAACAATATATGAAACTCAAAAGTTCTCCTCATTTAGTAATCCATGCTGCTTCTAAATCAGTTTGCAACTCCGATTTTTATAAATTATTTTTGCAATGGTATATGTCATTACTATTATTTATTAACATTTTTTTAACATTTAAAACTTTTCATAGTTTCATAGTTTAAAATTAACTTAATAGTTTAAACTTTTGTATATTAATTAATTTTTTTTGTTTTATTATTTTGTTAAATAGAACATGAAATAGAACACCACTTTTTAAAGTTAAATATTTTATTATTAAAAGTTATAATTTTTCAATAAGGTTTATAAGTTTTAATCAAAAAAAGGATAAAGCTGTCAGAAGTTACTGTTTTTAAGTACTGGTTTGTCAAGTCTGTTGAAATTAATTTTTAAATGTTTTAATAGTTTTTAATTAATTTTAAGATATTTTGATAATTTTTTAACTGCTATATGCTTAAAATAGGTTACTAGCGATTCAGGTTGTCAGCAATTCAGGCTTTCTATGCTAATTTATTATTTCATAATACATAAATGATTAAAAATTTAGGCTGGGTGTGTAAAAATAAGTTTTAAATCCAGAATAATTGCATTACTTGCATATTTTTAAGTTCTAGGTCCTTATCAAATCATGCTTGGTAATAGTGATAGATTAAGGCTTAATTAGATATAACTATTATTTAATTAACTTTAAATTAATTTATTATAAATTAATTTTGAAATAAATATCTTTAAATTTATTTAATATTTATTTAATTATTTCGAAGATGAAGAAAAAAGATATTTAATGAAAATTCAAGTTTAGTATTTTTAGAACCTTTATTTCATGCCCATGTGTCATCTTTTGATCATTACAAATATTAGGTAGAGCGAACAAAAGTAGTCATAAACTTTCATAACAAGCATAATAAAATTTATTACAAACTAAATTGATAAAACCTAAACAATTTAAACCTAAGTTCAATATCTTAATACAGTGTGATGTTTCTCAAAGCAAGGAACAACACTTAATCCAACATCACATTTTATACAAAAGTAACACAATTTTTTGTGTTGTTTGTTTAGTTTATTATTTCACACTACACATCTTGGCATTATCTTTGTGTGCAGTGTCCAATATCATACTCTTAACCATTAATAAAGTAACAGTTACTTTATTTATGTTTAAGAGATTAATCAAGATACAGATGAAATTGACAAGAATGCTACAAAGAAAAATAATATAGGAAAAAAAAAAAAATAATAATACAATCGGGACTATCAAAAATAGTTATATTGAAAATTGAAAAAGTGAAATGAAAATATTTACCTGGTGGATTTTTAAATTGTATTGTTTTTTAACCATTTGTATCTTAAATTGGATATAAAATATTCTTTTGGGATATTAATTTAACAGTGTACCAAATATCATTATTTGGTAGACTGTTACATTAATATCCCACAAAAATAATGAAAATAGTAACAGTGTTACTATTTACATTATTTTTTTCAAAATTTATGTGTAACAACTTTTACCCTAATTTAACTTTAAAATAAAATTGATCTTTTTCATTTTTAAAAAAAGGTTTTTTCCCTAGAGGGAGCTGCCTTAAATATTTTTGTAATTATTTCAAAAGTTCTTCAATCAGTTTAAAAATAGTTTAATAAGTTTATTAACTTTAGTTTTCCACCATCTACACAACATTTATATCTAAGTGAATGTCAGCAAAGACTTTCTTCTGTATTTGGTCCTCAACATGAGATGCAAATGAAGCTTCATCAAATACATCCTATATTTTTTCCTTTAATTGAATTGCAGGTGATTTTATTAATTTTAATCGATTAGTAATATTATAGGTTGTTTAATTGAAATTACTAATTTATTATGATAAATATGATAATATATAATTTATTATTATAATTATATATCATATCATAATATATTTTTTATTATTGCTATTATTGTTATTGTTTAATATTTATTTATTGCATGTGTAGAGAGATATAGTGTTTATGTGTGTGAGAGACAGACAGAGAAAGAAAGAAAAAAAAGAGAGTCTAGGAAAAATTACTTTAAAGTTAGTAGACAAACATGTTTCTCTCTAATAAAATGCAAAATTTGTACAACAGAAATACCTTTAAAGTATTTCTGTTGTACAAATCCTACTATTCTTTTTTGTGTTTTCATTTAGCACCACTTCACTCTATTACCTTTCTCTTTGTTCTATATCGCTCTCCTTCATCTCAAGACTGCACTTTTTTTGATGTTATTTCTGATCAAATTGACCAAGCCCTCTCTCTTCATTTACTAGCCAATATTGTTGTTGTTGGTGACTTTAATGCTCATCATACTGAATGGCTTGGCTCTAGTGTCAGTGACTCTGCTGACATTAAAGCCCACAACTTTTGCCTTTCTCAATCTTTAACTCAAATAGTCAATTTTCCAACTTGCTTTCCAGACAACCTGAATCATTTACCTTCTCTACTCGATTTATGTCTTGTTTCTGATCCTAGTCAGTGCTCAGTTTCTCCACATACATCCTTAGGTGCTTCTGATCAAGGTTTGATCTCTCTAAAACTCTAAATCTCTCTAAATCTATATTATTTTTCTAGAGGAAGAAAGCCAATTCCAAAGGACTTATGTCCTTTGGAATTTGCTTCCTAAATAAATAGATGATTCTAGATAAATGATAAAAGCTAGACAAATAAAATTTTTTTGGAGTCACAGCAAAGGATGAGGCTTAATTAAATGATGAGTAATATGAGAATGAATTTTAGTAGATAGCACAAAAGACTCTAGCTATTTAGAACACCGCTAGTTATGTTATTTAAAGAAAAAAGAAAGAGAAGTAGTAATATGACTATGTGCCTATGGTTGGCTGCAAGAGCAGATATAACTATGTTTGCAATGCATTTTTGCACTTTGTCTAAAACAGAAAGGGCTTTATTCAAAAACCTGCTTCTGATATGGCAACAGTATTTCATTCAAAGAAAGATTTGAGATTTATAGAGATAAAGAATAGAATTCGAAGTAAGAAAGTGACGAGCACAATAAAGAGATGCAATTTTAGCAGATGTTAATTTTGCAATGGATTTGATATATGGTTTCCAAGAATGTTCGGAAGTAAGAGTTGATCCAGAAGACAAAGTGTAGATGACTCATTAAGTACATTACTGTTCATAGATATAGGAAGATCTAGATGGTTGCAATTATGTTTAACTGCAAAAAAATTGAGTTTTGTCTGAGTGAAAGTTCACCAGCCATTAAAAGCCCCATGATCCAGCAGAAGTGAAATCTTTTTTAAGCTCAAATGCCCCTCCAAGCAATCAGAGAGGGTTGGCTTCTTATAAAGACAAGAATAAATGGTAATATCATCAGCAAACAATGCCACCTTGGATGTGAGAATTTCTGGTAGATCTTTAAAGAAACTTAAAAAAGGTATATGGTCAAGAATGGAACCTTGAGGAACCCCTGAAGTTACAGGAAATGAAGAAAAGTGCTGTCCATCAAGGACAACTTTTATAATACTTTTACTGTTAAGAAAAGATTCGATAATATTACAATGCATGATAAACCTATCAGTTATTACCATTAACAAATCAGCATTAGAATGAGAAGATGGAAATTCATATTGAAGACTAATAAGTTAGTAGTTAGATAAGCCAGATTGCTCTCCAGATTTTTTAAAAATAGAAATAACAGATGCGGTTTTCCAGCAGGCTGTGAAACAAGACTCTAATAATCACTTGTTTAATAATTTTCAAAGCGTAAACACTTCTGCAAGACTATATGTTTATAAAAGTTCTGCAAGACTATATGATCCGGACAACAGGTATGTTGTCCGGATCACAAGCTGTAGAAAAGTCTAAGCAGGAAATCACTTTAGATACAGAAGCTGGAGTGATACCAATGTCAAGCAATCGATCAACCTGTTTGTTGACTATATCAGGTAGGATGAGATTAGTGGAATCAAAAGATGAGATTGTTGAAAAGTTCTTAGCAAACAATTCAGCTTTGTCTTTAGGTGAAGTAAAAAATCTGAACCATGCAAGAGAGGAGAAATAAAAGATTTTTACTAATTATAGATACTGTTAAAGATTCTCCAGAAGTCTCTAGAGCCTAAATTTTGAGATGAAATACAAGATTTTATGACCTGAGAATAGTAGGCTTTGGCATTAGACAAAACCTTTTTACAATGGTTTCTGACAATAGTAAACAGGTGTTTTCTGGTGAATTGTTTTGGCAATAGATATGGAAGTAATGTTTTTGGTTGGAAATTGCAGCTGCACAATGAGAGGAAAACCATCGAAAAAAGTAAGACTTGACTTGGAATTGTCAAGAGGGAATAAAAGATTCTAAGATTCCAGCTTTGGTCCAAGAAGTTATATAAGAAGCACATTTGTTAGCAGGTAAAAGGTAAAAGGTTTCTACCCAAGGGCCAGCACAAAGAACATTAAGAAAAGAGTCCCAGTCTGCTTTAAGGTAAGAGATATTTTGATAGGGGGATTCTGATGATGAAGTAAAATAAGATAATAGTTTTAGAGTGATCAAACTGTGTTCAAAAGCACCTAGGGGTGAATGTGGAAAAACTGAGCTCTGAACTAGGATCAGACAGAGAAGGTTAATGATTCAGATTGTCTGGAAAGCAAGTTGGAAAGTTGACTATTTTAGAAATTAGAAATTAAAAATTAGAAATTATGGCAAAAGTTGTGGGGCTTAACACCTGCAGAGTCACTGACACTAGAATTAAGCCATTTAGTGTGGTGAACATTAAACTCACAAACAACAAAAATATTGGCTGAAAGATGAAGAGAAAGGGCTTGGTTAATTTCATCATAAAGAACATCAAAAAGAGTGCATTCTTGAGATAAAGGAGAGCGATATAGATTAATGAGAAAAGTGATAGAGTGAAGTGTTGCTAAACAAAAGCACATGAAAAAATAGACTATGAATTCAAACCTAGTTTCCCTACAAATGGGTGAGTTTTTACAAATGTATATGCACGGGTTATGTGTGTGACTATTGAAATCTTTACTAATTAAATGAAGATAACCATCAATACTAAGACCTCAAGATGAGACAGTTGATATCTAGATAGTTTACATTTTTAATGTTGCACTGTGTTGATATAAGAAGATCGTTTTGTTTAAATATATCGACAATATGTTTTTTAATTTTTTCCATTCCAGGTCCACTTTTATTTCCAAAAACCGCTAAACCATCGTCCCAATATAATCCAAATTCATTTTTATTATAAAATTGCAAAATCTGGAACAAAAGAAAAATTCCTACAAGTTCTCATACCTCAGCACCGTCAAATGCTCCAATTGACACATCAAATAATCCCCCTGAATTCTTTATCCATACTTGATCGATATTAAAAAGTAGTGATTTTCTTGCGTGTTGAATTATGACTTATTCTTAGGATCAACCAGATATTGCTCAGCAAAACTAATGCATTGTTTAGAAGTTCATTTATGGATGGGTAAAAATCAACAATATCAAAAATAAGAAATAAGTAAATAAGAAATTTATGAAGATGAAAAATAAGAAATTTATAACAATATATATATATATATATATATATATATATATATATATATATATATATATATATATATATATATATATATATATATATATATATATATATATATATAGTAAAGAATATATAATATAATTTCTAAATAATTAATAGATATGATAATATATTATTTAATATATATTTAGGTTGAAAGAAGTCAAGTGGAAAGAAATGGGTTATTTAATTTTTCAAGAATTAAATTGCGAGATGTTATGTCTTCTATTGAATATGATAACTCACAGACAATTAGTGAAATAGAAATAAATACTATTCCCGTGGCTAATAATTTCAAGACAGAAAATGATTTTTTTAATTCTGCCCAGTTGAATAAATCAAATAATATCTTCGAAAGAGTTTCAAATTTGTTTAGAAAGCGCAAAAGTAGTTCTAGTTCTTCTGATGAGTTTTTGCCACCTAAAAAAAATGACAATCAGTCTTTTAAGGAGTACCCAAAAGTTGTTTTTTTTGGTACAGGCTCCTCAATACCTTCAAAGCTACGCAATGTATCATCAACACTTCTATTTTTTAGGTTTAACTAATTATTTGGTTTTCAATTTTAATTATTTGATTAGTTTAATGATGTTTAGTATATCAATATAAAATATCAAGATAAAAGTCCAAACCATATGAAAGAAAAAAAAGTTTAATAATAAAATATTTATTTATTAAGTATTTATTATTATATTGTTTATATTATTATATTTAAAAGGTCATGTCTTTTGATTAGATTATCTTCATTCTTTACACTTTTTGTGTAAAGAATGAAGATGTGTAATGTACATTTTTTTGTACATTATGCAACTGTTACTTGTCTTGACTACCTTTCATAAGTTACAGAATTGTTACTTGCCTTAACAACCTTACATATATTATACAACTGTTTATCGTCTTGACAACCTTTTATATTCGTAGCACACCTGTTACTCGTTTTGACAAACATTACATACATATACTTTCTTACATTACACAACTGTTACTTATTATGGATTCATGAGTAAAAGTTTATTTTAGTTATTCCCCACATGAATTGGGAATGATAACAAGGACATTTTTTATATGCACTTGCTTTAATTTTGCGCGATGCTAGAAATTTATACACTAGGCAAAATATTTATGCTTCATACTAGAGAATTATGCACATACTATTTATGTTTTCCTTGTTATCTAGCTTTTTTTTATAGCCCAAATGTTTCTTTATAACTACATATAATTAGATTTTATAATGACTTTACTAAAACTTTTTTAGTGAAGATGAAGCTGTTTTACTTGATTGTGGTGAGGAATGTTATGGCCAGTTGTTTCGACATTATGGAAATAAAATCACACATATATTACGTTGTATTAAAATTATTCTTATTTCTCATATGCATGCTGACCATCATCTTGTAAGATTTTTTTTTAAAAATCAGAATTTTTTAGTTTTCATTATCATATTTTTTCACTCTGCTGCATTTTATGTAATTATATATTTCTGCTATTATCTGCTGTATCTTATATAATTATATATTTGCTGTTTTGTAAATTTTTTTTGGAGACCATTTTGATTTCTTTGTTAGGGTTTGTTCACATTACTAGACAAAATGAAGTTAATTGAAAAGGTATTATATACTATGATGTTAATCTTTTTATTATTCTTTAAAGATAGTTTCTCATAATATACAAATATAACTTGAAAACATCCAATTATCAAACCTATATATTTTTTATTTTAATTTTAATTTTTTTAAATAATAATTACAGAAATATTTCAGCAATTGTTTAAGTCATTTTTTTAATTTGTGAGTTATTTGTGAGTTATTTGAAGTTATTGCAGAACTAAGACAGACTAATTTTTAGTTAGATTTTGAGTTTTTAAATTTTTTTAAAATTTGGTTGATTTTTTTAAAATGTGCAAAAAAACCTTGCCACTGAATAGTTTTAACATATTTTGAACTTTATACTTTGATTTAAGTAATAAGAATATGGAAGCATTATTGATATTATTAAAACAAGCACGTTGTCTATATGAAATATAGATAACATATTGTATATATGAATCACATGTTTATTATGTCTGTCATCAATATAATGCTTGTAAGTTTGTATAGGTTTGCAGTTATGAGGATATCAAAATGTTATAAAGGGCTTTTTTTTCTATATGATGCAAATATGCCATAGCATATTTGCATCATAAGTTTGCAAAATAGTATTCCAAATAATAATAAAATACCAGATTTCGGTACTTTGAATTCTGGTATGAATAAGGATGTGGGTAGATAAAATAAAACTAATCAATGGAAAGCTGTGTTTGCATATATGAAAAATGACCAAGTATAAAAAAATTGTGAAACTTGCTTAATGCAAAAAATCAAGCTAAAAACTAGTTGGTCTTAGACCAGCAATAACTTCTAACAACTCACAGGTTAAAAAATAAGGCTTCAATTGTTTTAAAAAAATTTTAACAGAAAAAAAATATATATATTTGTTACTTTGTCATCTTAAGGTTTCATTTTTTATTATTACTATTTAACATCTGTTGTAATATAATATATATTATGCTATTTAACATCAGGATTCTGTCATTCTTGTTGCTCCAGAAATCATGATGAATTGGCTAAACTGCTATAAGCGCATAGATTTAAAATCATTAAAGTTAGTCTTTTTTTTTTATATAGTTTTTTTTTTGTTTGTTTTAATTATAGTTTAGTTTTCACTGTTTTTTGTAAAATATGATCTGGTAAATTATGTTTAGTTTTATATCTAATGAAAAACTAATGAGAGATGGGGAAGTGCTTTTCAGAAACATTCATGTAAGGTTATCTTTGTCTTTAAAAATCTTCTTTTTAAGAAAATATTTATCTATTTACAGTTGTGAAAAAATTTACACAACCTTCTGTCTTTATCTTAAAAATCCTAATTATAAGAAGTTTCATTTCTTTTAAATCTTAGTAAATGTTTTTATTGCAGCTTATCTCTTAGGTTCAGTCTGTAAAAGTTGACCATCCTGGACATGCCTATGGTTTTGTTATTTCTAAAGATAGGTGTAAAGTAACTTTTTCTGGAGATACTTTGCCTTCTAATGAACTTATTAAAGCAGGTTTGATTTCGTTGGATTTTTATGAATAGAAAGAGTACTAAATGCATTTTTTTTTTCTTAACTTAAGTTGATCAAAAATTAAACAAAATAATATTTTTACACACATACATACACACACACACACACACACACACACACACACACACACACACACACACACACACACACACACACACACACATGCACATAGATTTCTAACTTCAAATAAACTGTTGCAATTACTTAGTTTCTAATTACTTCTAATAATTATAAATAGTTTTATAATTATATTAAGTTAAAGTAAATAATAAATATAAGTTTTTAAATATAAGTTTTTTCCTTTCTTATGTTAAAAAGATTGTTTTTGTTGCAGGAGAAGACAGTACTATATTAATTCATGAAGCAACAATGGAAGATGATAAAGCTGAAGAAGCTTTTTTAAAAAAACACAGGTGAACCTTTTTGCTTTTGAATTTATTTTATTCAATTTTGTTCTTTTTTTTTTTGTTATTTGTATATTACTTCAAATTCTATTTACATTTAAGTTCAATTTAATTTAAATTTATTTTAGTACAATTGGACAAGCGTTTGTGGTTGCACAAAAGATGAAGGCGAAAAATCTTCTTTTAACTCATTTCAGTCAACGTTACCCTAAAATACCTAATTTGAATGACATTAAATCCAGTATACCTTTTGTACTAGCTTTTGACCATATGGAGGTACATAATATAATATATAAGAAATAAAAATAATATAATATATAAGAAATATAATTATGATATGTTATGATATTAGTGGCGCATCCAACAGTCATTTAGAAAAACCTGTAAAAAAAAAAAAAAGTTAAAGAATGTTTTTTTCATTGCAAAAACCTTTTTTAGAGAGTAAAATGTTGATTTTCTTTAAAAAATTTGCTTTTTTTTTTTATTTTTTTAATATTATCTTCTGTTTATCAACTATATAATGCTTTCTCATACTGCTTAAAAAAATAACTCGTATAACAACTTATAACAGCTATATAACTTATAACTTATAAAAATGGTAATTATTTTTAAACTGTATCAATTTAAAGTTTAGAATGATCAATTTAGGTGTCCAATCTGATTGGTGTAAAAAATGACCTGGATACATTTCTGAATAATGTATATAATAACAATAGTTAAAATTAAGCAAAAATTAATAATAATAATAATAATAATAATAATAATAATTATTTGCATTAAAAAAAATACATTAAAATACAAAAGGGTGAGACAGGTAATCACAAGATTACGCTTATGTAACACCTGAATCAAGGCAGTTTAATACAATACGTAACTTTGTTGAAAGTCGTAAGTTTGTAGTTTTTTTTTTGAATATGAATAATAAAGATGAATGGACAATGCGAGCAGGCAATTAATTCCATATTTTTACAATTCTTTCACAGAAAAAAAATCTACGTGTATCGTTAGTACATTTATTGCGTGAAACTAATTTTTTTGCATGACTTCTAGTGGGGTAATGAGAATTGGAAAATGTAAAGAAATCGTAAAAAGGAAGGTCGACAAGATTGTTTATAATTTTGTAGGTCATAAAAAGATCAAATTTGACTCTGTGGTGTTCAAGAGAATCGAGTTTTAAAATAGATAGTCTCGATGCATAATCAGTGTAAGAAATATGGCATCTTTTACAGGTTATTCTATTGAAGTATCTTTGGACGTTTTCGATGCAACATAAATCTTTAAGAAGGTAAGGACTCCACACTGGGGTGCAAGATTCTAAGATTGGACGCACATAGACCTTCTAGGCTTTTAAGAGGAGATTTGAATCATTATTGATAAAGGTTTTGAAAAGTAAATATAGATGGGCGTAACCTTTTTTGGCAATACGAGAACAGTGTTTGGAAAATTTTGTGTCAGAAGATACCGTAATACCAATATCTTCAATACAGTTAACAGTCGTTATCGGGGTGTCCAGGCAAAACGAATACAAATGAACAGTCAAAGACTTTCTTCCAAAACATAAGTAGGAACATTTTTTGAATGCTTGAATTTTTTGAATGCTTGAAATTTTTTGAATGCTTGAATTTTTGTTGCCAGTAAGTTGTCAAATCAGAGAACTTTTTTAATGATATTTTAAGGTCAGCATTTTAATAATAAATAAGGTCAGTTATTTTCATCTCTTGTTTGGTACAATTTGCTATCATCAGCAAACAGCTTTATTCGACAATCACCTTCAATACAAGAAACTACATCATTAATAAATAATAAGAATAAAGTGTCTTCGAATGCCTTTTTGAAGTCAGTATAGATATTTTCAACTTACTTTTTCTTGTTAACAGCTGAGGTCCATTCATTAAGAGAAGCTAATATCTGTGTACATGTAGATCTACGCTTTAAGAACCCAAATTGGTGATTAGAGATAAAGTTATTAAGTTGAAGGTACCTTTTTAAACTATTATCAATAATTGACTCCATAACTTTGCAACTAATACAAGTCATTGAAATAGGTCTGTAGTTCGTAGATAAGGAGGGGTTACCTTTCTTGAAAATCGGACATACATATGTGGTTTTCCAAATATTCGGAATTACACCGGTTAACATTGACAACTCGAAAAGGAGAGAGAACGGGATGGCAATAATATTAGCAATCGATTTCAGGAATAAGGCAGGATACCCATCTGGTGATTTTGATGACTTTGGTGGAAGTTTTTGAAGAGCTGATAGAACAGAATCATAAGAAAATTAGACATTATTCATCGCATAAGAAAAAAGACATTATTCAAAGAATTATCGTGGGATGGTAGATCTAGCACAGGTTTAGTACCGTTGTCAGTGACAAACACTGAAGCAAAAAAATTGTTCAGAAGGCTCAATTTTTCACAGTTATTTATTTATACACATTATTTATACACACACATTTATACACACACATTATTATACACATTATTTATACACACAGTTATTTATTTATACAATTAAATTTAAAGATTAAAAAGAATTTTAAGGATAAAAATATTAATTAAGGATATTTTCAACAAATAATATTGTTCACTAAAATGCAGAAACTTTTTAATAAAAGTTTATATTTTTATATTTTGATTATAAACATTTACGTATGTATTTTCTCCTGAAGCTGTCTAGCGTATTCAAAATTACCAAACTTATTTCATTGTTAAATATATATGAATTGGTAAATGTTAAAAGGGGCGGAAGTCAAATATTTTACAAAATTGGCGTTTTTGTAAATTTGTATATTCAAAGGATAGCTCTATCATTTTATGTTAAAATGGTGGCTGTCAAAAGTTTTCTCTAGCCTGTACACTATCTAAAAGTTTGGTTTTTTTGTTAAAAGGATTGAAGTCTTTCAGCCCTTTTAGCAAAAAACAGCTTTGCACTGCAGACAGCTGACTAAACATAAGTTTCTTATTGTGACAACAGAATAGTCAATAAAGCTTACTATGTGTGATCATTTTAATAGTGATTTATGTTAATTAACTGTTTTTTTAAATGAGTGATAATGTGAGTCTTATCATACAAGTTCTAAAAAAAAAAGAAAGAAAATCCTGATGGTTTAGGAAAGAGTAAGATTAAGAAATCTTGGTGTGGCATATGAAAACCACAGGGGACAAAAAGTTGATGCTATGTCTAAGATTGTGTAGGTAAGAGATAGTACACAAGTAATTCTTAATTTAATAAAAAGCTTATGTCAAATTGTAATAGTTTATCTATAGTTTACAGTTTTTAATGTTAAAAGTTCTCTGGTTAGCCTGACCATTTAAAGCGTTACCTCAATCAAAACAATGAGTAAATCCAAAAACCAGCAAACTCAATTTACTATAAGCAAATTTCAAATATGACATTAATTAATTGTAAAGCCAGTGAAATTATAAATGGTATTGTCAAAGATACTTTTGAGATGAGAAAAAAAAACCAAGAAAGTGTAAACTTGCCAGAAAAGCTTATTTACCCAAAGAAAAGATTCCAAAAAAATCTGCTAATTTGAATGATTAAAGACAGTGCATTAAGTACATCCTATATGATCATGATTTTTATAATGAACTACAGCAGTGGCCTACAGAAGAAAGCAACAATGGAGAAGCAGAAGATGTTGATGAAAATGATTAAGCTGATAAAATTGCTGTAATAGACCTTTTTTTCCTTATATTTTTTGTTAAAAAACAGTTAGTAACATTTGATACCTTTCCATTTTGTAACAAGCTTCATGTTTTGGTCTTTTAAATTTCATATTTCCTCAGAGAGTTTTATTTCTTTTCTATACCTAACTAGTGCAAATAATTTCAGATAGTTTGCTTATCTCAAATTAAATAGTGTATGACTAAAGCCAAAATACAGTTTTTTATTATGTTCATGATTACTGAAACTTACAGTTGTTTAATAGACAATATTATTGGACAAACACTATTAGCAAATATGATTAAATTTCATAGAGCAAAATTTTGCAATTATGCAAATTTATGATTAAGTTTTGGTTACACATGCAACTGTAGCTAATCTTAAAAGAATTTTGATTGAATATTTTATGTAGCTTGTGGCAAGCACACTGCAAGGAATTGTTTTTATTATGCTGAAAAGATGGTTAGAGTTAGAATGGATATACCTTGATTGATTATCAAGTTTACAATACGGTTTGAATGTATTGTTATTTAGGTTTAACATAATATTGAAGTAGTTAATAATTTTTATATTAGATTAAGTGGTGATTTGTAAATCACTACTTTAAAAAATGATGTTATATGCTTTTTAATCTTATCTATTTGCTGACTTTTTTTTGTTCTTAACTATGGCAAGATCGTCATCATAATATAGGCTGAAATTTTCTATGTTATAATGCTGTGAAATTTGATAATGAATAAAAATGCCAAATAACTTAGGCATTTTTATTCATATATATATATATATATATATATATATATATATATATATATATATATATATATATATATATATATATATATATATATATATATATATATATATATATATATGAATAAAAAATTTTATTCATATATATATATATATATATATATATATATATATATATATATATATATATATATATATATATATATTTCATTAGGTATTTTTTTTTTTAATATCTTTAAATTTAATTTTTTGAATTTAATTAAAATTTATTACATACATTATTTTATTAAAGGTATCCATGGATATGATTGATGAATTCGAAAGTATTCTTCCCCAACTCAACTTTCTATTTTCAACCGATACTCAAGAAATTCAAGAAGTTCATGAAAATGCACAAGTTAAAACTCAAATAAATGCACAAAATAATATCCATGAAGATACTATAAAAGCTTCTTAGTTGCTATATTTTTATATTGGCTTTTTTTTTTATGTACTATTTCTTTTAAGAAAATTTTTAATTTAAAGTAATGAAGTTTTACTATCTGTTATTATTCGAAGTATTTATTAAATCGTTAATTGTTAACAGTAATAATTATAAATCAGTCAAAAAAATATATGAACTAAACATCTAAATTGGTGTTTTTGGAACTAATAAGGGAGTATCATATAAAATTCATCAAGTCCCAACAATATGTGGCTTTGTTAGTTTTTTATGTTTGTTCTAACTGTATTTATGTTTTTTTTTTTTGTAAATATGTTAATAGAAGCAGATTTAGGAGGTTATAGTTTATCATCTCTGATCTATCAGAATAATGTTACATACTCAGATCTAGGAGGTTAGGGTTTATCCACATTGATCTAGGAGGTTAGGGCTTGCATTTTATGAAATGAGTACATATTTTTTTGTTTTTTTGTATTACATAATATCTTGTAATGTTTAGATAACTTTTACTTTTTTATAAAAAAGTTTTTGTCTAGTTTTTCATTCTTTTTTTTTGTCTTTTATACTCTCTATTTTTTTAATCTTCAATCTTTTATACTCTCTAGTTTTTTAATTTTCTGTCTAGTTGTTTAATGTTTTGTTCTAGTTTTTTAATCTTTTTATTTAAAATAAAAACAAAAGCATAATGGGTAATGAAGATTTTCAGTCAGTTGCTAAGAAGATCCATTTGGAGAAAGCTAAGTATCTTTATGAAAGTATGACTTTAAAATAACTAATTTCTAAATTTTGTCTAGAATCGCAAATTTTTTATTTTCTATTAAGATCATATTAATATTATTATTTTGAACATATTATGAAGCTAAAAAAATGAGATTTATTTAAAATAAATTACCATCTAGAATTAATTAAAATAATATAAGTTAAACCTTAGTTTATAAAATATGCGAGTGTTTATACAATTGCCATGACACACAATTTATAAAATGTTTATAAAAAGTGTGAGAGTTTATAAAGTTGCCATGACATAAATTTTATTAAGTTGTAACTACAGAGTTGCATTTTAAAATAAAATTTTTTTTATGCATATATTTTCAGTTAAAATTAAAAATGGTAATATTAATAATAGAGCCAATTTTACATTAAAAAATGGCTAATATTTAAAACTCTTTATAGAATTCATGTTCATTTAGTTTATGACTTTTCTTTTTTAGAGACTTGCATCAATCTAAAACTAATAGAAGAACAAAACCGTAGGTTAAATTTAAAATTCATAAATTTTATATTTTATTGTTGTACAATAAGAAAAGAAACCTTTCATTACAGAAAACTCAACCTTTATGATGACATTTAACTCTTCCGGTCATCCGGTTCTTTAGTCGAGTAAATTTGATTTGTGCTTTATGCTATAATTGTGTTTGTTATAATTGTGTTTGCTCTGATTGTGTTTGCTATAATTGTGTTTGCTATAATTGTGTTATTGCTATAATCGTGTTAACCAAAATTGGACTGAAATTGAAAAGTTAAGCGTTTGGACAGCTGCAAATTTAGAATCTATGGCAAACACGGTACAAAAATGATGTCTGCAACTTTGTTTTTTGTCAACTTTTAGAAAAGGAGATTGTAGGTTATTAATAATAATATCTTTTTAATTATTTTTTTTATAATTAAGAAGATAATAGAATATGTAAAATAATAAAGATAGAGGAATAATAATGGAGAGCGTTAGGTTGGATAGAGAGGTAAGAAAAAGGCCTATCATAGTAAGGCATACAAATTATAGGTGAAATAATCCCATTAGCTCAATTCTCTTCTCAAACACCATCAAAGACAAAATTAGACATAACTAAAAAGCTCATAAAACTAGCCAGCGTTTAACATTTCAATTTAGGAAACCTGTCATGCTTTTTTTGCTGAAAACATCGTTACAAATAAAGAGCAGTTTTTTGGCTTTCGTTGTGCTATAACTTTATATCTTTTTAAGATATAGAACAACGAAATCGGTTATTTATATGAATCTCTCAAGCATCTAATGAATTCTAAAACAATGAATGTTATCGAAATATTTATTCTCCTCTTTATTAATATATAAGTTTTATATCATTTTTATTAAAATACATACAAGTTTTATATCCTCTTTATTAAAATAATTAAATTTTTTCATGCGCTAAAGAATTTTCAAATAATTAAATTCCTCCATTTGTAAAAATAATTTGTCAGTATTAAAATATTCAAATCTGAAAAACGTTTAAAAAAATTCTTTAAACCATGACATTTTTTTTTATTAAGTATATTTTTTATTTTTAATATAATTTTTTAGTATATAATTAAGTACATTTTTAAGTTTTTTACAGAAAATTTTTAAGTCATATAAGTTTATTCAAAAAGTTATTTTTAGTATTATTTGTAGTATTTAAAGTTTATTAAAAGATAATTGCATTGAGTTTTTAAATTACTTTTATGTGTATAAACAAGAGTTTAGCTTTTTAATGATAAAATGGTTTTAATAGTTAAAAATTTTACAATATTTGTGCTTTAAAATTTTTTTTGAACTGCTTTTCACTAATAATTTTTTTTCAAAAAAATATTCACATGCACCTTATTAAGCTAATTTCTGTCAACTGCTTGTATTTATGCTGTTTTTTTTTGTTTTTTTTGTGTACAAAATTTTTTTCTTTATCTTAATGTAGCTAACATCCTTTATTGCCCTACTAAAATTGTTCATCCAAAGTTCAAAGGTTGGTAAAAATGTTTTATTATTTTATTTCTTTAATTTAGTTTAGTCAGTTCAACTTTTCATTTCTTTTGTTGGTGAAGTAAAATTTTTTAAAGAATGAAATTAAAATTTCACCTTTATTTCAACATCCGAAGCGAATTCAAACTTTTGATGTAGTTTTTAGAATTTCGTTGACTTTTAAAACTATATTTTCAAAATCCATTATAAATAAAATCTCTACTAATTTACTGTTATATGGGTTTCGTTGATTTATTGCTGTGATTATGAAAAAAAGCAAAATATTAGACTAACTTCATAATTAATTCGTACAACATTCGACATTAAGAATAAAAGTTACAAATTACTTCAATGGATGTTTTTTCTACAAAATAATTTCAGTAGATGTTTTTTCTACAAAATATTCCAACATTTTTAGAGCTTCTGGAAGCGAAAAACCAGGAAAATTTAGTGATTTTTTTGACTTAGGAAACCGGAGTTCTTTTTAGAAGTCTCATCTCTTATTAAAAGAGAAACATCAAAATGTTTTTTAAGTGTAATTTTAGATTTTACTTTAGAATTTACATAAAAACAGTATTGAGAAAAATATCAAAAAAATGTTACAATGAGTAAATACTTTTTAAATTATAACTTTCTGAAAAGTTGATAGTTTTCTTTAATTTACTGTTATTTCATTTACTTTAATATTGTTTGGACAAATAAGTATTGTACTGTCAGGTTCTTGATACACGGGAGGGAACTTATTATTTTTTTGGAAAATTTTTAAATTCAGCCCGAGCTTGTTAAGGCCACTCCCCCCGTTTACTAATTTTTACTTATCAGTATTTTAAAAACTAAAAAAAGCTTTCAGTGTCAACTCGCTTCAGTGTCAAACTCGCTTTCAGTGTCAAACTCGCTTCAAAAATTATAAAAATATAAATCCATTAATAAAAATAAAAAATTGTCATCTGTTTATTACCCAACCTTCCCTCACCTCCATCTCTCGTTTATTACATCTGGACAAAAATTCACACCCATCTTTTTATTCCAAATCGCCTTGTATTAAGCACCAAAGTGTACAAAAAAAAAAAACACCTGCAAAATATTATTTTTAATACTAAAAATATTATTTATTAATGTTGCTTATTTTGTTAATAAAGCTGTGGCTTAAAATATATGTAGATCAGTTAAAAATAAATTGAAACAGGTATTACTTACGGATTTTGATTTATATATGATTTTAAACCTTGCTTTTAAACTTAAAAAGATGTAAAACTAAAATTGTGATATTTAATTATTCAACGTCCCAAATATCACAATTTTTTCTTTGTTGAAAAGTTTTATTTGTTAAAAATCTCAAATCGAATTGAAAATATATTTGTAACGACTACATTGTGTCTTGGCTTTGAGCAAAATTGAATAAAATGCAACCTAGCTACTTTTTTTGAGCTACTGTACGGATATATTAATCCATAGACTTTAACAATTTATTAGATATTCTAGCCAAAACAATTTTATTTGTCAGGATGTTGTTTACAGTTTATTATATACCAAAGTGTAATATCTTGTATATACATTTTTAGATTAATGGTTAAAATCAAGAATACAATATATTCCATTCTCTATAAACTACAGTCGTGTGCAGTAAAATAGTAGTGCTTATTGTATTTTTTTATCAAAAAACTTTGAACAACAAAGTATTTTTTTATATTGTTTGTTTTTTATAGTTATTGTTCATTAACTAAATGTTGTGATTATAATAAAATAAAATAAAATTAAGAAAGATAATTGCAGCACTGTATGGTTTTATTTATTCTATTTTTTATTTATTTTTTATTATTTATTATTTTATTATATATATATTTTTTTATTATTTTATCTTTCTTTTATTATTTATGCAACATAACATTTAAATTTCAATATTATCGATTGAAGGTCATTCGTATTTTTTTTTTAGACTGTGCAATAAAGTAGTAGTGAAAAATTAATTTTTGTGTAATCATTGCTGTACTTATTATATTCTAATTATTATTAGTTCTCAATAATAAGCAATAAGTAAGTAATTAATTTTGATTTTAGATAAATTTATACACTTACTAAAATTTTGAAAATTTAGAGAAACATGGGGCGCTCTAAGCATTGTACTGAAGAAGTTCGTAATTTAATTATAAATCTTAAAAATCATGGTAAAACCTACAAACAAATACAAGAACTGGTTGGATGCTCGCCAACAATGATTTGCAATGCTTTAAAATAGTTACCCAAACCAGAAAAACGTGGAAATAAAAAATTAACTACCGCTATAGAAGATCGTCGAATTGTATCGTTAGCGAAAAAGGAGCCATTTATTACTTCTAGAAAAATTAAAGATAGGCTAGAATTAAATGTTAATACCTCAACTATTCGAACACGATTAATACATATCAATTTAAATGCAAGAACACCTAGAAAAGTGCCACTTTTGAGTATAAGACATATCGAAAATTTGCACGTATAATATCGTTTAAAATTTGCTCGTATTCTTGGCCTAATGAAAAATCGGTTTGTATATATAAAAATACTTGAAGATCCCAAACATACTAGCAAGTTAGCCAAATCGTAGTTTAATGAGAACAAAATCGACGTGATGGAGTGGTAAGCACAATCCCCCGACCTCAATCCGATTGAAAACATGTGGATTGATGTTAAACAAGCAGTTTCTGAAAATAATCCAAGAGGTTGTAATCAATTGTGGGACGTAGTACAGTCAGCATGGAAAAATATATCTATCAAACGATGTCAAAATCTTGTTAATTCCATGCAATGAAGATGCTTGGCGGTTATTACAAATAAAGGTCATGCCACAAAATACTAATGTAAAGCTTGAAAAAAAATTTTTTTTTTGTAATGAAATTTAATTATTTTTTGACCTTTTCATAGAAAATAATTTTCACTACTTGTTTATTGCACAGTCTAAAAAAAATACGAATGACCTTCAATCGATAATATTGAAATTTAAAACCATACAGTGCTGCAACTATCTTTCTTAAATTTTTTTATACTATTATAATCACAACATTTAGTTTATGAACAATAACGATAAAAACAAACATTAGAAAAATATATTTTGATGTTCAAAGTTTGTTGATAGAAAAATAAAATACGCACTACTATTTTATTATTATTTTAACTATTTTAACTGTTTTATTATAATTTTTATTATTATTATTATAACAGTTGTATTTTTTTAATTAGATTTCAAACCTCTTGATTTGGAAAGTTACTTAAGAGACTGGAAACTACTTAACAGTAAAAGTTGAAAAAACAATTGTTTTCAATGTTATTTTTGAAAGTTAAAAAATTTGCGTTGAGAAAGATTTTGTTTAGCAAACCCTAAACTTTAAAGTCCAATATTAGACCTGACTATGATTGTCGAAATAATTGTTCCCTTATTTAATTAAGCCCTAACTAAGTTGCATTCGCAGCTTTACAAGAAAGTACACCGCTTTACAAGAAAGCTGATTTAAATGCTGATTTCAGCTGAATTTACAGCTTTACAAGTAAAATATATTTGAATTGCTAATTTCAGTTGCAACAAAGTTCTGACAAAACATTGTTGTAACTAAAATCATATATAGCAAAATTGAATAAAGTCTTTAAGTTCTGAATTTCGTCAAGTTTTGCTAAAATCTTGTCTATAGGATCTAATTTTGTCGTTTCAAACTACGTATAGAAAAAAAAATTTTCTTGTTGTCTAGTAACATAAAAAATCAAGTCTATAGAAGAAAAGTAAAATAATCTTTGACTAAATCAAATTTTTGGATAATTCACTTTCTATTAATGCCAAAATTTTAAAATTAACATTTTTAAAATTCCTTAAAACAACAAAAATTTGTTTGGGGTTTAGTTGTATCGGAATGGGATTTTGCAAGCATTTGCTGTTCATATTAATTGTATAATCTTCATTTTTCCACTTAAATTGGAAATTTGTTTTCACATGCCATTACTATAATAGACTCATTGATCACCCAGCAAACATGTCCTATATGGGTTTGCCCATGTGGGCTAGCCCTTGAATACAAAATTTTGTATTCAAGGACTAGCCCATATAAGGCTCATTTATGACCCATATATGAAGTTAAAAAAGCGTTAAATTCTTTTTTTCTAAATTTAAATGCCATTCTATCTTGCGCGCGATGGTATGAGGTACTCCGCTAGGCAATTAGCTGGAAGAGTATAAATCACAATAGCGAACTAACTTTCTGAAGACCCCATTACGTTCCTTTTTTTTTAATATTTTATTTTACATTTGTTCGTTTTTACAAAATAATGAGAGTAAATAAAAAATTAATACAAATTATATAAAAAGCAAATACTACTAACATTTGTAAAATACAACTAACATTTGAAAAACTAGGTATCTGAAAGAAGATCAGTAAGATCTTATCGTCAGAATCTTTTACTAGTGTAAACAAAATATTCGGTTATAAAGTAACTATAAGTATCACAAAATAAAAGATACATACATATATCACTTGGTAGAATAGATGAATATTATCGTCAAATTTTGATAATACGGAAGAGCTTAACTTTAAAAAAATGCAAATAAGCAGGTAGATCAAAATTAAAATTAAGCTAAACAAATTTGTTCCAGTTGGTGCACGATAATCAATGCAAAATTGGTTAAAATTTGTTCGACAAAATAGCTCATATAGAATGTTGTTATTTTTTAGAGAGTATTTATTGGTAGATTTCAAAGTAATTAAATCATTAAAAACGGCAGAAGAAAGATTGTTTTTACATATATATACAAAGCATAAAATATTAAAAATATTAAGTTCGTAAATATTAAGTATTCTCATTTCATAAAAAAGTTGTTTAGAGTGAGAAAAACGATCAGAAAAATTAGTTACGCGTATTGCATGTTTCTGACGCGATAGAGAGATAGTAACTTACTTTTTTCAATGCTTGCCCAAGCAATATTTGCATAATTCATCTAGCTATGAATAAATGCATAAAAAATTTAGGATAAAACTTTTTTATTTATATAGATTCTGACTGAAAAATTCAAATATTTCTTGAAACTTTGGTACCAATATAATCAATATATAGCTTCCATGTGATGTTCTCATCAAAGAATACGCCTAAAAATTTTGTGATGCAATCTCTTTTTTTTTTCAATTTGGTCAATAAAAATATCAGGTAGAGTTGGTAAGCTTATTGCATTTGAACCAGCTAGAAATTATTTTGAGTTCTTCATTCATAGTAGTGAAGAGTTTATTAATATTGTTATCTGATAAAAATAAATTAGTATCATCCGCAAACATAATACTTAAAAGATTAGAAGCTTTATGAAAATCATTAATGTATATTAAAAAAAGAAGTGGCCCCAAAATTGATTCTTGCGGAACACCACATAAAATATCTAAAACATTTTTTTGATAAGGATCGTTAAAAGAAGCAAATTGTTTTCGGTTTGTTAAATAACTTTTAAACCTTTAAAGTGGATGGTGTAATTTCAAAATTACACCATCCACTCCATAATATTCAAGTTGATGATTCAAAATGCTATGTATACTGTATCAAATGCTTTTGATAAATCCAAAAAAATACCTAAAGTGAATTGTGAATTTTTGAAAGAGTTAGAGATTTCACGGACAAATTGAATGATTGCATGCTCTGTGGAACTATTTTTTTTAAATCCAAACTGATTTTTATAAAAAACTTCTCCTTAAAATAAATATATAATCTTTTGTAAATAATGTTTTCTAAGATTTTTGAAAATGTTGATAAAATAGAAATAGGTCGGTAGTTACATACATTAGTTCTGTCTCCTTCTTTGTATATTGGGATTCTTTAGCTATTTTTAGCTTATCAGGAAAAACTCCTTGTTGTATTGATGCTTTAAAGAGAATATCTTTTAATTGTTTAAAGCAAACAAACTTTCTGTCAATATTGAGAAAAGTAATTATATCTTTTTCACAAAACCTTACAATTCAGAAAAACTACCATTAAAACTTCCAAATATTCTATTAGACAAAGTTAGACTAAATCGAGCGTTCTCAGTTAAATTTCTCGGGGTATTTTTAGATGAACATATTAGCTGGAAAGACCACATTAATATATTAAAAAACAAAATATCTAAAAACATTGGAATTATGCATAAAACCAGATATATTTTAAATAATGCATGCCTTAAAAGTTTTTATTTTGCATATATACATAGCTATATTAACTACTGCAATATTGCCTGGGCTAGTATCTACCAATCAAAACTAGATTTAATATATAAAAAACAAAAACAAGCGTGTCGTATATTAACAAACGCAAACAAAAATGCCAATTCTAAATATTTAATAAGGGAACTGAGAGTTCTAGATATTTACGAACAAAATATATATTGCATACTTCAGTTCATGTTTAAACTCAAAAATGATCTGGTCCCTGAAGTCTTTCATAACTATTTTCACCTTATTAATTACAAATATCAAACAAAATACTTTATCAAGAACTACTATATTCCGAAAACCCCTTTAAGACAATCTAAATTCTCAATATCCAGCAGAGGATCCCAATTGTGGAACTCATTTCTAACAAAAATAAAAACGATAAACTCATTCCAACATTTTAAATGCGTTGTAAAGCAACAGCTACTAGACCTCAACATTAATAAAACAATCTTTTATTTTTAAAATTTTTCCTTTTTCAATTTTAATTTTTTTTTTCCTTCACTTTTTCTTGAAATTCTTTTATATTACTTGCTTGGTTATTTAATGAAGTTCATTGTAAAAAAAAAAAAAAAAAAAAAAGAAAAAAAATCACATGTATTATAAAGAATTTTATTATATTTGTATTTGGTTTATATTTTATCATATTTTGTCAACGACAAAAATGGGGCAAGATGATAAAACTACCCAGCGGGCACGGCAACGTCCATATGACGTCGAAAGGACGTCTTTTTAGGACGTCCGGAACCGGTTCTAAATGGCAACGCCAGATGACGTCTTTTTAAGACGTAAATAGGACGTCTTTTTAGGACGGAATGAAGACGTGTTTTTAGACGTCTAAAATCACTGATCTCTATAATAACTGGATAGCGCATCTCCTAATAAAATTTCGAAATTTTCGAAGCCAAAAGACGCCATATTGGAAAGCCCCAGAATTTATAAATGCGTAGTTGCGTTAAACTTATATGCGCTTAAAAAACAGATTTCGCTTGATAATTAAAAAATGTAAAAACCTTATAAATGGATTGATTACTAAAAACCGAGTAAATCTGATGTTATATGTTCAGATTATTTCATGGAGAGTGACATAAATATATATATATATATATATATATATATATATATATATATATATATATATATATATATATATATATATATATATATATATATATATATATATATATATATATATATATATATATATATATATATATATATATATATATATATATATATATATATATATTAGGGGTAGTCATTTTTAGGGAATTTTTGAAATCGAAGTACATACCCAGCTAAAGTTGGAGCAAAAATGCTAAAACTTTGTCAAAATTTTTTTTAGGTCCATCGGGTGACTTTTAAGTCCCCCTCAAGACTAAAGTTGTTAAGAAATTGAACTTGAAAAAAGGAAAAATAGGGTGTGTTCAGAGTGTTTGAGGGGGATTTAATTGAAAAAATTATTTCAATTTTTATTTTTTTTTGTTATTTGTTATCTATATTTTCATTTTAAAAGGTATGTCATCATGTTTTTTACATATTCTTGGTTAAAACGATATTTACGAAAGAAAAAAATAAAAATTTTATGTTACGCAAGAGGTTATGAAAATCGGCAACGATAAAAAAATTCTTATAAAATAATGCAGAAGAAAATGTGCTGAAGATCCTGCACTGTATTTTTAAGTCACTAAGAGTTTTTATAAAGAAATTGTACGTGAAATTGCGTTACATTATTTTATTTTTGTAAATAACTTTCGTATTTACTTGATTGTTATTAATTGAATTACAATATAAAGTAAAATTGTATTGAAGTTTTTAATTAATTACAGACCATTAAATATATTTAGATTGAATACAAAAATGGAAAAAAAAATTGTAAAAGATATTGGGAAGAGGAAGTTTCTCAGATCAAGCAAAAACAAACTTTTTATCATAAATGAGGCTAAACCAGCTATTACATGTACATATCTAATTTAAAAAAATTGTTTTGAATTTTAAATTTTTTGTTAAAAATTAAAATATTGATTTTTTTTTTTCTTAAGGTCTTCAACTCCCTACTGGAATGGATGTTCTTCAACACATTGTCTACAGAAGATCACTACTTCCTCATAATGTTAAGAAGTCAGCAATTTTATCATGCCCTCCTTA